TATATATACATATGTTGTATACTGTAAAGGCATAGCTGGGTATGCTTCCAAATTACATTACTAGTCTTTTATGCTTGCGTAGAAAGAACTGTTCCAGCAGATCATCAATCAGGATTCAATTAGAAGTACCTGGGGTGCGTTCAGCGCACGGAAAATCAGCTTTCTCTTACTGTGCTCATTATTTGTGGAACGATTTTCAAACTATTACTCCACTAGAAGCAATTCCTTCTTTGAATACTTAAAAAAAAATGATTGCAGTATGTAGTGAATGAGCTTTGTAGCCGTTTTAATTAATTTGTTGTTTCATGATTACGATTTTGCTTTGGTTGTATATAATTTTGCCGTGTGTTTTATGTTTTACTTTTTTAAATTTATGTGAAACTTTTGTACGGTCATCTTGGCCAGGACAACCTGGAAGAAGAGATTTCTTTATCTCAGTGGGACCTTCCTGGAAAAATATAGGATAAATATATATATATATAGGTTAAATGATTCTGAGCGTCTCATTGATTTGGGCCAGCTGGGAAAAATAGTTTTTGGCTCGACAGTGTCTCTTAGAAAACACAGGGAAAAATTATATAAAATGAGCTATTTCGGGCTGGCAAATCAGTAAATTACAGCACAAAATAATATTAATTACAGTGACACACCGATTGGTGGATTTTAAGTGATACATTTCCAGAACTGAGAAAAAACGACAATCAGGGGCGTAGCCATCATTTCAGAAGTGTATATATAAAAAATAAAAATTATATATATATATATAACATTACAATATAAAATTTCTGTAATCTATATAACCTACCAGTCAACAGTTTTTAAACAGTAAGATTTTTAATGTTTTACAAAGAAGTCTCTTCTGCTCACCAAGCCTGCATTTATTTGATCCAAAATACAGCAAAAGCAGTAATGTTGTGAAATATGTGTACTATTTAAAATAACTGCTTTCTATCTGAATATATTTTAAAATGATTCCTGTGATGTGCAGCTGTATTTTCAGCATCATTACTCCAGTCTTCAGTGTCACATGATCTTCAGAAATCAGTATAATATGCTGATTTGCTGCTCAAGAAACATTTTTTAATTATTATTATTATTATTAATGTTTTTTGAGCAGCAAATCAGAATGATTTCTGAAGGATCGTGTGACTGGAGTAATGATGCAAAAAATGTAGCTTTGAAATCACTATAAATTACATTTTAAAGTATATTCAAATAGAAAAGTTATTTGAAATAGCCTAGTAAAAATATATCAGCATTTTACTGTTTTGCTGTACTTTGGATCAAATAAGCGCAGGCTTGGTGAACAGAAGAGACTTCTTTAAAAAACATTATAAATCTTACTGTTCAAACACTTTTGACTAGTGTATAGTCAACTTTAATTTTTCTCTCATTTCTAGCTTTTAATTGGCTTAGAAATCAGATAACTGCTGGACAATAACCAATAATAATGATTTGTTTATACAAACACTTTATCACATAAGGCAGGAGATGACTTGACAAACACAAATAAACCATATTGTCGCAATCGTATGTTTAATGTCTTCATGTTTCCAAACGTTTCTGTTTTCATACAGCGATAGCTGGACACTTTTGTTCATATTAGGAATTTCCTGGTATCACTTTCTGCGCGAGAGCGCCTCCGGCTTCGAGTATGAATGAAACACACACATGAATGTTCATCTCGCCTTATTCTGGGTCCGAATAAAACATCAGATCATGTACATGAATTTAAATCCACATTTATTTACACCAGCTCTTGAAAACCTCTATGCGAACACACTTGCCCCGAAAAAGTGTGGGGGACAAATTTACGTGATACTAAAAGTGGGACACACGTCCCCCGCGTAATCTAAGCCCCTGACTACAATATTTGGCCCATTAATGAATATTTTACACAATATGTGTGTGTGTGTTTATTTAGTAATATATTGTCCCTCAAAGTCTGACACATCTTTTGAATTGGAAAAAAGATTAATGCATAAATAAAATTACTTTTTCTTTTATTCATTATTGCTAAATATCCTTGTTATTTTTATTATTAGTCTGAATTATTTAGTCAGCATTGCATGCACTGTAAATAGGTTGCTGTAAATTTTACAGTAACTTACTGGCAGCTGGATGCCAGTAATTTACTGTAAAAAATATTTACAGTATTATTACTGTAATTGCATTTACAGTACAATAATATCTTTACTGTATTTTATTTACAGTATTATTACCGTATTTTCATTTACAGTAAGCAGTAAAAAAAAAGCGGTAATATTGTGATATTTTACTACTTAAAATAACTGCTTTCTATTTTAATATCTGTTAAAATGTAATTTATTCCTGTGAGTCAAAGCTGTATTTTCAGCATCATTACTCCAGTCTTCAGTGTCACATAATCCTTCAGAAATCATTCTAATATGCTGATAAACATTTTTTTATATTATTATCAATATTTAAAACAGTTGAGTATATTTCTTCAGGATTCTTTGATGAATAGAAAGATCCAAAGATCAGCATTTATCTGAAATAAAAAGCTTTTGTAACATTATACATTGATCTGTGACTTCACCTGAATGAACCTGCAAGCACAAGAAAAAAACAAACAAGCAGTGTTTACAGAATTTGCCTCAACTGTCAAACTTGTTGGTGCTGTATGCACTCTGACGTTAATAAAAACGTTATATATTTCATCTGAACGCACCTACAAGGAAGGTACATAATTAGTTGATAATCCATCATATTCAAATTATTAAAGCTCCATTTTTTACAATGCATTCTCAATCAGTAGAGCAAAGTGTTGAAATAATGGGTTTGATTCCAGGGGCAGTTCTACAGTGAGTGGATATCTGGGGCTTAGCTCAGAAACATTAATGCATGTATCAGAATACACGGGACACACTTCAAATAAAATAGGCTATGCTGAAAAGTTACATTGGCTAATAAATTAAATTATTTTTTTAAGTTTTAAAGAGACAAGCATAATTGATTATAGTTTGCACTTACAAATTGCATAAATGAAATTACAGTGTTTCCCACAGACTTGCACTCTATTTGTGGCGGCATATATATAAGCAAACTCATTCTCTGCCAGCAGGAGGCGATGTTGGGGTGGTAGAGATCGAGGTTTCCCCGGTAAGGCTGTACACAAAGCAGCTCTCCACTCACAAACGCTGCTTTATCAGACATTACATGCAAGAAGAAATTAAAATGAGGCTGTGTCCGAAATCGCCCCCTATACCCTCATTCACTATTCCCTACATTAGGTCACTAGTTCAGTTCACTAGAAGGAGTGAATGAAAACGAGTAGTGAATTCGGACACTGAGTGCACCGGAAGTAATGCCGCTTTTGCATAGTTTGTGCTTGCTGTTTATTAATCATTTGAAACTAGCAAACTAGCAGCTCCAGTAGTAAGATTAAAGGATTTATCTTGAACTCTCGTCACGGAAATTATGTATAAACCCTAATCAAACAATTTAATAATCACTTTACAATTAATTTATACCCATGTTGTACATTATGCTGTACGCCATGGATGAGTGCTTTGTAAAAATGAGCGGATTGATTATTCAGCTGCGGGCGCCATCTTCTGGCGAGATGCGGGAATTCATTTGGCGTGTGACTCTCACGGTGCATTATGGGCATTCTCTAGCCGTTGAGTGTGCACCAGTTGTACACTCATTTTTGCAGTGCATTGTGGGATTGAATGAGTGCACTCGAGAACGTCCACTATGGTTTCGGACACCACTAAAAATGGCTGTTCGCTCAAATAGTGCCCTATTTAAGGGTATAGGGGGCGATTTCGGACACAGCCAGAGTTTCCTTCAGAAATACAGTGATATAAAAACACCCGCACCGGGTTTCGATTTTGAAACATGCAGTGCTCATGTTTATTCAACATGTGCTAGCATGTTCCTCTCTTTAAAAAGTCAACCTGTTCTGTGAGTTAGTGGAGAACAGCAGCTAGAGGCTAATTTAGTGAAAATAACATACGCTGATGGTTTTAGTTTTGCATAAAACAGAACTAATATACTAAACTTTTGTCGAGTTAACGGTGCATTTCTCTTTGGTCTTTTTACTGCCACTTCCACCAAACAGTCAAAAAAGAACTCCCTTGCCATTGGTCAGTTTTTCACGGGCAAGCTCACTACTGTAAATTGATTTACAGTAGTGAGGAAATACAGTAGTGACCTAACATAATCCTTTGCTGTTTACAGTAAAATACTGTATACACATTTTACAGTATCCTACTGTACATATCACAGTAAAATACTGTTCAAATTGCAAAAATGGGTTACAGCACTCGAGCATGACGTCCACATAAGGTTGAATTGTCAGTAGATCTTTAAGATTCAATGTCCAATCACTGCAAACTATTTAAACAGTACTTGACATGTAGAAAAATGATTTGGTCTGATTTGTTAAGGTGGGCAGATGAAATCATTACAGAGGCTTGATGGGAAAAACTTAAACCAGTTACTTTTTTAAATGTTAAGGTTTCTATTTTATATAAGCTATTCAACATCTGAAAGTGAGGTATCGTGTGATTGGAAAAATGCTGAGATCTGCGAAATAACCTCATTTTATCTCCAACATCAGCTAAAATTGCCCATGACCTCTTTGGTCTATGTAGGCTGTGTTTATGGTTGCTTTCATTAATTCTCAGATTGAAAGCAAGGATTGGTTATATTTATAAGAACAACAAAGCACACAGACACTGGCATGACTACATTTTATTATCAGTTAAAATGATGCATAAAATGACAATTTAGCTGCTGAGGAACGGCACATATTGCATATCTCCCTTTTAAAGGTTTGAGCTTTGATATATTTCCAATGCAGAATGATAAAAGACCACCTGACGAGTTGTTTGCATTATTATGTTTATTTGAAAAGTGGCCATTTTATGTAAATTCACAGTATTCTGTGTCCTCGTTTAGCAAGGTAAACTTGTGTTTCTACTTCAGAAGAGATTATCCTCAAAAGTTGGACAATAGCTGAGTTTTCTTTCAGGTGCAGGTTTCATATATAAGCAGAGGTCTGTCGAATGTCCTCATTTAGGCAGCGAGGTGTGTGTGTGTGTGTGTGTGTGTGTGTGATCGCTGGGTGGAGCAGCAGTGTACGGCGGGTCTCGTCTCTCTTCTCTCTCGGTTGAGCGGCTCATTGCGGCGGCTGGAGATCCATCGAGCGGCGGCGGCGGAACGTCTCCAGCGTCCGTGTGCGTGAAGCAGGTGGAGGTGGAGGAGGAGGAGGATGATGGAGGAATCCGACAGCATCCCGTGCACCGCGGAGGACGGACTCCTGTCGAGCTGGAGATGGAACAGAACCGCCAGGGATCAGGTCCAGATCAAGCAGAAGATCCGAGATCTGCCCGGATTGTTAAAGCACGGACTGAACCTGCGCAAAAAGAGCGTGAGTTACCAATAAATGCGTGATGAAGAATGTGTGTCTCGGGAAAAGAGGACAACTTGGGATGCCAGTTTTGCACAGGGAGCTTGGCAGCTGCAGTTCCTCCGCTATCTCCTTCCATGCTATGTCCTTTTTGGTGCGGTCATGATAGCAGCTAGAGGACACATCGTACAAACATGCCCTCTGCTGCCACAACTCAACTTGTTCTTTATGGGTATCCCACATACCAGTACACCTTCTACTTTTTTTTGCCTCCATGGCATTGAAATTGTAGCGCTGCTGGTTGTGTGGATCAATACGTCATTTCATTTTGCAATTTCATTGGCTGCTGAGTAGACGCAGGTCGTAGCAGCAAACACACTGTGCATTGATCATGCTGAATTTCTGACACTGTCAGAAAACTATCGTAGGCTTTGAACCCTTTCTCACTGTACGACATAGGATCACCGATTAAGAGCCACGATCACAGAAATCATCACAATTGCTTCACGATGGCAATCTTTCATCTGGGACAGCCACCAATTGTGCAGTGTATCCCGGGCTTTACACAGATCCATGAAAATGTTACACACACTGCCAACACACATTTCAGTTCAAACAACTTGTAAAAGTGCATGTAGCATCCTATGACCCCTTTAACTAGTAAATTTCCCAAATAGTTCACTCAAAGATGAAAATTTGCTGAGAATTTACTCACCCTCAGGCCATCCGAGATGTAGATGAGTTTGTTTCTTCATCAGATTTGGAGAAATGTAGCATTGCATCAGTGTCTCAGCAGTGGATGCTCTGCAGTGAATGGGTGCCGTCAGAATGAGAGTCCAAACAGCTGATAAAAACATCCCAATAATCCACAGCACTACTGTCCATCAGTTAACATCTTGAGAAGACAAAAGCTGCGTGTTTGTAAGAAACAAATCCATCATTAAGGTGTTTTAACTTTAAACCATGCTTCCAGCCAAAATACGAGTCCATAATCCATAATAAAACTTCCTTTACTTAAAAAGTCATCTGATTTGAATCAGGAGAGCAATCTGCACAGATCAAGCACCGTTTACAAGCCAAAACAGCTCTAAACCAATATGTGGCTGGATTTTGATGTGAGAGACAACAGGAGAAGTGTTATTATGGATTATGGACTCATATTTTGGCCAGAAGTGATGATTTAAAGTAAAAAAACATCTTAATGATGGATTTGTTTCTTAAAAACATGCAGCTTTTGTCTTCTCCAGATGTTAACTGATGGACTGGAGTGGTGTGGATTATTGTGATGTTTTTATCAGCTGTTTGGACTCTCATTCTGACGGCACCCATTCACTGCAGAGCATCCATTGCTGAGACACTGATGCAATGCTACATTTCTCCAAATCTGATGAAGAAACAAACTCATC